TGTCTCTCCTCTCTCCGCCATTTCCACTACCCTGCCCCCGCCGCCTTTGTTCCGCTCTTTCCGATACTCGTTTTTTTTTTCTCCGATTATTCGATTCGTCGGTCCTTTTTCTTTCAGCGACCATTTTGCGCGTCGATTCGCGTCGCGCCGATGCTCCTCGTTTTCGTTCGATTGTCCCGAAGGGAATCCTCCCGTCAAAACACGCTCAAAAAGTAGATGATTTTTACGATTTCGTTTCGAGAAAACGTGTACAACTTGTTGCAAAGAAATTGTCATTCTTTCGTGCGTACTTCGCGACAGAAAAGAAATTTTCTGGTAAAAGTTCTTCTTTCGAAACAGAGACATTTTCCTACGAGATTTAAAACTTGGATATTTTTAATAATAAACGATGAAACAAACAAATAATATAGTATTCCGTATTTCGTCGTTTAATTTTCGAGCCAAAGTATTAATCTCGCCGGCCATTTTTCATGGTTAGGCTCTTCTCTTCCTCATCTTTCCATTCCGTGATATTCAATCATTGATCTCGTAATTACCGCTCGGCCCTCTCTTCCCTTCCCCCCGATTGGCTCTTTCCACGTGCCCCCCCTACCGCTCCATCCTCCGTTTCTCATTTTCATCTAGTCAGAGAACAGTTTTATCTTTTCGTCCCCTTGGAGTTTCTCCTACGTTTTACCCCCTCCCATCCTCCCTGACTCCCCTACTCCCCTACTTTCTGGCACAAGCTAACCCTCCCCCAACAGCTCGTTGTACGTGCTATTCCTTCATCTAGCTCGAGCGATCATCCTCCGTGCCGCAATGTGTAACAACGACTCGTCACACTCTGCTTGCCGGCGCACACGATAATTGCCCTCATTATAGTTATTTAAAAAGCGCTGCCGCCTCCGCGGCGATCGAGCCGCGATATAACGACGCGAGCGTGTGCTCGCGCGTCAGCGCGAATTAATCGAGGCGAAGGCTAGAGGAGAACGAACCAGGGAAAAAAGAAAAACGGCGCGCCTTCTTTCTAAGATCGTAACTCTGTCGCTTTACCATACCTAGTTTTAACTCTTTCCTTCTTTCGATCCTTTTTTTCATCACCTTGAAACTCGTCTTTTTCTCGCGTTCCTTCTTTTTCATTATCCGCTAGCCGATTGTTCCGGCTTGGAGGTTTCGAACGAACGCGGGGCCGATCAACGATTCCCGCTCGTCCCCGAGCAGAGGATGCCATTTTTTATTTATTTCTACGATTCCTTTTTATTAAACGCCAGGCTGTGTCTAATTACGGATTAATGGGATTTAATTAGCAACCGGGATTGCAATCATTATGCGTGATGAAAATTTTCCGTAATTGGGGAATTAAACGCGCCGAGAGATTAATAACTGTTGGGGGGCTTTCGTCGTGGCAACAGGAAAGCAAGTCATTCCAACTTTGAGATCGCACACCCGTCTCGTGATCGATGTTTTCTAAATAGAGGCTAGTTTCTTGGAGTCGAGTGTTTTTTTTTTGAACGAGAAAGATAGAATACAGAATACCGACTGACCGTTGATCTCGGATATCGATCCGAGAAGCGGACCTTGATCTATATAATCGGAAAAATCGTAACGTTAAAAATAATTTCAACCAGGATCCTCGAATCTTTACGGTTCGCTTGAAACGCCGAGTATTGTAATGCAGCGAACGTTGCAGTTTTAGACACTTCGGTTACTTGTTATTAACGGTTTGTTGCGAATCACGGGGCGTGCTGTATTTGTGTGTATATTGTGCATCGAGAACCGCCTCTAACGGTAAACAGGAGAGTAAATTGTATGGTAGGCGATAATTAAACGCAATCGTTGGGTCAATTGCATTTTTCTTCTTTCGTCTCTATCCTTCGATGCGTTAGATTAATCAACGAGATCTCGATGCGCCTTTGCCAGTCCACCTGTGTTCCCTGTAACAAATTAATATTTTGCTTAATTGGACCAGTCTCAGCGTTTGATTTACACCTGCGGGACGCGAATCGTTTCCGGCAGGTATCCTTCGTAAACGCGTGAAACAGATTCGCTGAAATCCCCTGTAATTGACATTCCCGGACGATAACTCGATACACCATTGAATTTCTCGCGCCATCTTTTCTGCCTGGACGCGCGAACCCGGCGATACGTCCGCGTCGACGCATAAATTATTCAGCCAGTTTGCGAAGCGAACCTTGTATTCGTTTCTAATTTATAATATAACGGACGTCTCTGGATACCGTACCAGCGCAGCGGTTGCATCGAATTTCAACCAAGTCTTGTACGCTTTTTGGCGCGCGCTACCTCTCGATCTTTCTGGATCCGAATTTCGGGACCAAGGACGAAAGAAACTCGACGACAGTCTCGTGTCTCGAGATCCTCTAGCGGATCAACCGCGGGTCAACAGGGGATCAAAGTGTTCCCACGGAGATAAAAACCAACGAGCAGCTTGAAAATAACAATTCGTGATTCGTTCGGATCATGAAGAAACGGTATCAGCCGAGATGTTCCAGCGACCGCAGCCGTTCCGCGCGTTTCTGCTCGTAATACTCGTTGGTCCGAGTTTCGTATGAAATTTATCCGAGTCGACATCGTCCTCACGATTTCGACGGACGCGCGCGATGCATTTTTATAGATTCGTTGGCATCCGAAATCAGTGGTGCATTTTACTTATCGTTTCCCGTGTTCTAGATGGTTGCTTTAACTTTACAAATAATACGTAACGTCGAGGCTCGAAGGGACTCGACGATTCTTTCGGGAAGAAATTTTTCCGGCAAGGTCGCCGGGCTCCTCGATTGTTCGCGGCGGAACGGCGCAATGAAAGCTCGATAGTACGAGCAAAAAGCCGTGAGGTAGACATAAATAAATAGGTGGTGGGTGTGGTTGGTAGGCCGCACACATGGCGTCGTGACCCGTCTCCTCTCTTCGTGAGCTCAGAGCTCGCTTAAGTTATGCCCTGCGGAATGCCGCTGCTCCTGCTTCTTTCGGTGCCCCGGCTAGATTTAACAGTTCCACGGTGCCTCGTTACTTTTAATCGGACGCGGCCCGACTTACGAGGCTCGATCAACAATCCCTAAAGCCCCCGGTAATCGTTTAAAGAAATCTTTTTAATTTCCCCCGCGTTATAGATCGTTTACGACGCGACCTATTCGGACGATGCGAGTTTATTTATAATTACAAGGAAGAACCATCGTTTGTTGCAAACTAAAGCAATCCGCCACATGTCAAACCACCCGACCGATAACATAACTTTTTACATAGAAGATAAATGTGGTCCGTTCTCAAGATCTATCAGATTTGCAACGATCTCGGTTGCCGATACTCGGGGAGCAAACTTTGTTGCCGGCGAATAGAAAAACTCCGACGGCGAGGTTTTTCACGGCGAGACCATACTTTCGAGGGTCAAGTCTTGGTTATCCGACGTTTCTAAGCCCGTGTGTAACGCCGTTCATGACTTAACACGGTGCTTGGGTTCGTTCGTTCGTTCGTTCGGCTGTGCTTTGGCGGTTCAGGCTGCCGGGACAATGCCGCATTGTTTCATCGTCGTAGCTATCTAGTCGGCACGGTAGCAGGCAGGCTCGAACGATGTTTATTATCCGTTTGTGCAACAAAACAAAATGCCCCCGGTGTTATATTATCCTCCGCATCGTGGTCGAATCAGTTTCCCATATAAAATCCACGGACGCTGCCCTTCCGTCGTAACTTTAGAGGAAGCACGACGTTCCTCGAGGATGTTCTTGGTGTACCTTCGAGCACCGTGCAACCTCGCAGAAGTCTTTGGAAAATCAAACTATGCCGTACAGAATCATTTCTATTCGTTAAAGAGACAACTTTACGAATCAAAAAACACACTACCTATCTTTCGAATAGCTTTTATGCGTATTTCTGGTACCTTCCGATCTCTCGAGGGCGACAAAGTTTTTCAAAAAGTACAAGGACACGCGATAAGAAGCTCGAGTTAGAAATCAGGCGAGAAATCAGGCGCTTAGGGATTTCGATCGGGCCTTATAAATTACAAATTCTTAATTATCCTGTTGCACGTTCGTGTTTTCGCAATTAGAATATCTGCTAATTAAGGAAACTCTGTTGTATCTCACGCATCCTCGACGCACACGATCCTCTCTGCGAGAGAATAAAAACAGGGAGGGGGAAACAAGGATTAGAAAAGCTTCGGAGCCCATTGTCCGAGCCGGTGAAAGCGAGCCGTTTCCAGATTTGATCTCCGATTAGCCTTGGCACGATTCGATGGAAATCACGCGCATCTCCCCTCGTCCTCCGCCCCCCTAACCACTCAGCGTTAGGTGTTTTATCTTTCGCGCGAAAACCGCGTCATCCGTGGGGGGAAGGGGGGGGGGGGCGAACCAAGTTCGAGCTCGGACAGCGGTTTTCTTATTTCCATGAAAATCGTGCGCGCCGATTCCGACGACAATGGCCATTCCGGCGTTTTAAATGCAAATCCGCGAAAGGAAAAACCGTAAGGGCATTATAATTTATATTACTACATGTGGCAGCAGCACTTCCGGCGAAAGAGCATAGGCGCAGTTCCGGTCAGCTCGGCCAGGAGATCCTACATCGCCAGATTATGAGCCCATGCCGCTTTTACAATGGATCGTCTGCCTGACTCATACGTTAGCAGGAATAATTTTGTTGCCGCTAACGGCACGTTAACCGCCAAAATAAAATGTCCATCGAACGACCATGGCGTCCTATCGGCATCTACTTATTTACGATCGATCGCTTCCGTAACGTTCGATTCACGATACCCGTAAGATTCCATACTTGAAGTTTCCGAATTTCTGAATATTATTATTAGTCGTTAGCAATTTATGTACGTTGAATTTGATTAACGTAACGATAGAAACTAAAGAACGATGGTTTCATGGGCCTGAGACTGTCTCTAGCGTAGGTAGGTTGTTCGAAATTGTTTATTTTATAGTTTTCAGACTATTTCTAGGGAAGATGAAATAATTTAATCTCGACCCGAAAAGTCGCGTCCGCTCGCTCCGTTGAAGCACGATTAAAACTCAAGTCACAAACTGCCCCTTCTTTATAAAGTCTACGATCTTTTGCACCGTGTTCTGGAAACGCGCAAAATTGAATCTGGCCTCGTCCGTGGTCTTCGATTTGTAAATTACGGTCGTGTAAGCATCCGTCAACTCGGTGACCAGCCTTTGAGCTCTTCTGGCGGCTGCCTCGATGGAGCCGGTCGGCGTTTTTATACTTTGCGCCGTGCGAATGATTTCCTCTTTGACGAGGCTCACCAACATCTCGTCGTCCTTCTCGTTCGACGTGCCGCTCGAGATAATTCGAAAAATTCGAGCGATCGCCTCGTCCGCTGCGCCTGAAACACCCAAAAGCTCTTTGAGAACGGGTCCCGGTTTGCGTCGATCGGATAATTCTATTCCAATTCGAACGACAGGTGTTTAGAAAAGAGTAGATTCAATCTAATTTTAAACGGTGGCGGCTTATCGTCACGACCAAAGATCTCTAATCGTTATAACTAATGGTAGTCGCGATCGTGATTATAACAATAAAGACTGAAACCATGTAGCGTGTCTCTTGTTCGACGAATAGATTAATTAGATTAAAAAGTTTCGTTTTATTTTTGTCATTGTTATATGACGAGAAAAAGGACGAGTATAGCTGCTCTAACGGAATGTTTCATTCACCTGCTGCTGCTGCTCGTGCCCTTCTCCCGATCGATCTCCACGAATCGTTCTCGCGGTGGTTTCCCTGCGATCGCGAGACGCTGCAAGCTAGAAGGACGATCGCGATCGTCGCGGGCTTTGCCATCCTCGAACGTTCCATCGGGTCAAACTGATGGTCGCGAGTCCACCGATTCTCTCTTTTTATACGGGCAGTACTCTCTAGACCGGCGGCGGCGTGCAGGGACATTATGCAAAATGCAATTTGTCGTGCGGCCGACACCGATCGTTACGAGCGATTCTGATGCGTGTCATTAAAAGGAAAAGACAGAAGGGAAAGTGGAGCAGCAGCAGGAGCAGCAGCATGTCGCGGCACAAGAAAGTATATTGTTTCGCGGGTCACTTTGATTTTCACGTTCCGACATACCTGGCCAGTACAGCGGGAACGCAGCTTGTCTGCCGGGGAAAATTGCTGCAACGTGAAAGTGCAAACTCGGGACTGGCCAGCGATATTTTTCAAATTTCGTTTTTTGCGAAATCTTTTCACCGGTAGTAGAATTATTCTCATCCTTGACGAAATACAACGCTCGTTATTGGATCGACTTGAAAATCATCTTTGACCTGATCCAGATCACTCTGAATTATCCGAGGTAGTCGATGCAACGTTAAACGCAAGAGAAAAAAGCTATCAAAGTTGTTTGTGTTTTCGATAGAAGTATTTGGCTCGAATAATAGAAGAGGTCATCTACTATTTCATGACCAGGATCGTACAAAAGACGGCCGTGTTTCCACGATATATCGAACCGTGAACGATTTACGCGATTCTTCGTCGGTAGGACAACGTGGCTCAACAGGTCGTCGGTTTCCCCCTCGAAAAATGCAGAAGCAACGCCGATGCTGGCCGGCGGTAAAAGTGCGTGAACATAGGGAGGGAGTGCATCCAGCCATGATTCCTCTTCACCGATTTTTACCCCCTTCCTGTCCCTTGTACCACACTCCCCCATTGAAACGGCTGCCCGATGGCGCACGATTAAAGTCTGCAGAGGTTTACAGATTCGTGTTTTGCAAAGGACGTGCGCACTTTCACCGACGATACTGTACTTTGTGAGATATTAAATTTCTAAAACAGTGTTAACTGCTTATCAGGCGCGTACGCAACACTGGTCACGATTCCAATACTTGTAGCGTACGTTTCCCACAATGTGAATTTAGAAATAATTCAAGAACCGTATTGAAATCGATATAAGAATCTGCATACTAAGAACATAAAGACAACAGATTTTCAACCGAAATAATATCGTTACTAAAGAACCATAACCGATATCGATGTATAATAGTTTGAAACAGTTATTTTCGAAACCGTTTCAACCACTATCGTAGAAACATATTCTGTAAAAGGACTTTGGTTGCCAGACAGGTGAAAAATTGGCCAATTTCCACCATTGTTTTCTGCCTATCTCTGCTTTTGGACAACGTAACAAAGAACGTACGTCAAGCATCCGCGCGTCCATGGGCTAGCAACGACGCGAGGCGAGGCGAGGCGACGCGACGCGTTCCCCTATGGCATGGGTACGCATCGCGCATTCGTTCAGACAGACGCACGTAGGAGTCCCGTGCACGTTAACGTGGGATGAATGGAAATACGGGTACTTGAGTAAGCTTAAATTACATTTCATTCATGCAGGAAAAGCAGACACGCGGTAGTCAGTCTTCCGGCTCGCGTTGCGCACTTAGAAAGAGGCAGAGCGGTTCAGCGCAATAATGGCCGGCCTATAATGTGTATTATCCCAACATCCTGCAGCAGCGTCTCCTTTTGCGTGCGGCTTTTCCTAGATTCAGCCCTCAAACTGTTTGCGACAGCGACATTAATCGGATGGTGCACACCCCGCGTTTTCCATTCTCTTCACCGGCCCGTCGGACTTGAACACCATCCGTCGCCGTAGCTGTTGCGTAAACTACGCAGAGTCGAAAAACTTTGGAATTATCGAGTACGATACAAATTATCAATCTCTCTCCGTTTTATTCGCTAATCCCATCGCAACTCGCAGCAGCAATACATTTCGTCGAGATGGCCCGTTGTCCGAAAAAAGCACTCGACAAATCCACCGATAGAAAACGGACGAAATATCGATCTCGCGTATCCATCGATCACGATCTTATCGGGCAGCTTCGGTACGCGTTGCAACCACGAGACGACGAAACGGTGCGCCGATCGACGATCCACGATGACCACGATCGCCGGACCGGCTGTATCACAAAGCGAGAAGAAGCGAGAAGAAGCGAGAAAAGAGCCCGGGCCCGGTGATCGATTCTTTATTCTCGTATCAGCAACGGGGACGATGGAAACGACGTGGCCTATTATAAGTCGATCGCGTGAGACACAATGATCAATGCCAACCGGGTCCAAAGACTCGCTGAATGGAGAAGAACACCGTTCTTTGCTCGGGATTATGGCACCGAAGAGGGCCACCGAAGATCGACAGGGCCGATTACGTCCGCGATGACTTTAAGCCCTGTTTAAACGTTGCAATTCTTTTTCACGGCCAGTTTGACCCCAGCTGTGTGTATCGAGCTATCCGCGCGCCGATTTTCTGAGACCCCTTTCTTTTACCACCTCTTTTCATTTTTTCTTTTTCTTTTTCTTTGTTTCTTTTACGCCACGAGATTATCGGATGCGTCCATACACCCGGAAGTCCCGTCCCTCGAGTAACGCGGCCGTTGCGTTCGGTACCCCGTTATTGGCATTATTTTCGCCTGATTTTCGTTTTAATAAATTTTTAATCCAACGCGTGAAACTGTTTGCCTGGCTTTTACAATTTTACACGGTTCTAAAAAGAATTTTTTCTGCTTCTATGCCAAAGAAGCGTTGCCGTCGCAAAAACGAGCCGCGATAGAGTTACTCAGGTAGCACGCGTAATTGTAACACGATCATTTTGGCGCATAATTTAATTTCGCAAATGAGGCATCGACGATTAATATTCATAATTTGCGCGCGTTGGATAACCAGTTATACAATACATTACGTAACAATATAGAGAGATTTAGAAGTGAAAGGAAAGGTATTAGAACGCGCAACGTACCAGGGGTATTTGATAGGAACGGGGTTTTGTTGAGTTTGGTCGAAATAGCTGGATAACAAAATTTCTGTTACAAACCGAAGCGAAAACGTTTAGTTATTAATAATTAACATCGATTTAAGAGAGGATTTATAAACTCGATAGTTATACAGAGAGAGAGCAGCTGTTACAATTAGAGTTCGTAGCACGGAAAATAGTTGTTGGTAGCAGGTGAACGAAACCGTAAGATTAAGATCACCGATCGATTTGTCGCCTGATTTCTCTTTGCGGAGCTGAGTCACTCAACTTTTTTTGCTTCGTTCACAGTGAATCGAAAGCAAGTACGATTTCCTAAATGCAGAAATTGTATTCGATATTTGAACCGCACTCGAGACACGATTAAATTAATTAATTAAAATAGTTTCGTCGACGTCAAAACTGATCTATTTTTAACATTTCAAACGTTTCGATCAACGTATCGTGTTTATTTAGGTTGAAGTAACACGTTCGTTATTAAATTAGTTAATAATATTCTTCGAACTTGAAGTAAGAGATTACCAATCTGTTTCTGTAACGATAAAGAGGAAGAGTAATCCGATCGAGTGAAAATGTGACGAAGAAGCGATACTTTTCAGACGATGCGAGAGCAAAACGATTCGAAACAAATGACAAAGTCACGTAAATTTGCTTAATCCGACAGCTGCACCTTCCACGGCCATCCTTCATCTCGCGTATAGGGCGACTCTCTTAGGAGTCTAGTAAAACCAGTGTAACACGAAGAACGAAGGCAAAAAGTACAACCATTGTTACTAGTTCCTGTTACGAGGTACCGGGGCACAATGCCACTGCACGCTTCCTTTGCAACCGTGAAAAATAATCCGGCTTTGTCTATGATGTGCACCACAATGCGCCGCTCGTGCAGACTATCGCATGGTCGCGGTTGAAATGCATTTTCAGGGTGAAGTAGCGTCCCTAAAAGCGCCTCGTTTGACAAATGACACGCGCACGAGTCGTTCTACCTTGAATCGTACGATTCACGAGACTCGACGTCATCGTTTATGCGGCTCTACCTTTTACGCGGATGGGAGTCGAATCCCAATGTTCGGTTTCAAAATTCAGTCGAAAACTGCAAGAGTTTTCTCTACCTTCTTCTTCTTCTTCTAAACGAAGTAACCGTAACCGACCGATGTTGGAAAAAAAATAGAGGGAAATCGAGCCGCGAAAAAGTACGGTCACAGAAACCAGTCGAAGCGAGGACGCGTACAGATACATCGATCCATGTCATGGCTAATAGCGCAGAGCCTGATAGATAAGACCAGAAGCTGTATTGAAAAGCTCTGGTTTAATACGCCCAGTCGGTCCGTTTACGAGGCAATTCAGGGGCGAATTACAGCTGTGTGTGCGGGGATTAATCACCGACGGTAAACGTGCTGCTCTATAGACGGGATACAGACACGGTCCCCTGCATCCACGCGTACGCGGACGGGCAAGATGCAAGACGCGAACGTCGTGTCTGTGTCTCGGCGACACTGCAATTGTCGCGTCTGTGCTCGACGCACTTACGCACCTCGTACATTGATCGACCTAATTTTACCATTTGTCACGCCTCTTGTTCCACGCCTAGGTTTCGCGGCTATGCATCAGGGGAGGAGGGGGCGGACACCGAGTTATTACTTCATGTTTTCGAGCGATCAAACACGATCCTCCGGATTCCTGCTGCGTCCGTTGTCCAACAATTTTCCAAGTATATTTACAGTTACTCTGTCGTTACATTATTTCGGACGATCACTCGGATCTAATTTTTATCGGTTTCGACGTAATTCAATTCTCGGAATATTTGTTCTTTTTTCGAAAGAATAATAGCGACGGAAAATTATTTTTGATTAAACTAAAAAGAAAAGGATCCGTCCATGATTCTTTCCGTAGGGGATAGCAACGCGAACGTTGCGGAGTGCGGAACGAGAGAGAAACAGCGGTAGTAAAGTAGCGGCGACAAGCATTAAGGTGTCGTAAAAGCGATAATTCAGCGGGTTTATCAAGCGCGGCCGAACACGGTCGCGCACTGTCTTTACGACTGATCGATATTAATACCCATTGTTAAAAACAA